GATTCCTCAGAAACCTCAGGTATTGGGCTGGGTTTGCCTGGTATGTAAGCTATGAGCGAGTCTGGTGTCTTAGACGTAAATTCGTAACTCACTTCCTCTGAACTGGGTGTTTCTGGGGTCAGGGGGCTTTTCCCAGAGCTGTCTAGAAAGGAAACTTGCTCTAGAGTGTCATCTTCGGGACTCCCTTGGGGAGAAGGAGGTTGCTTCTGCTGTCTAGTTGTATAAAAGGTCCCCCTGGTCTCTTGTACTGTCTTACATTCCTGACTTACGATTTTTTTTACACTTCCTTGTTGTATCTCCTTTTCATACTGCTTCCCCACCTGCACGAAACTGACATACACAGGTAACGTTTTTATCTCTTTCCCTCCCTCTGTCTGGGCTAGTGGTGCCACTCTTTCCAACCCATCAATGGGACTGTGGTCGAATACATCACTAGGGGGAGATTCCTTTCCTGGGCTAAACTCTAAAGAATCAGGAGACTTGGTCGGGGAGGTTTCGGTTTCCTGGAGAGGCGGGCATAAGCCTACATAACTCTGTTTGGAAACTTTGCTGATTTCTGAATAGGTAACCTTTTCATCTTCCATAGAATTAAAGTGCTGTGTCTCAAGTGTCTCTTTACTCAGACTTGATTGGGATAACTTTTGGGATAGTTCATGTTTTGGAAATGTCGACTGTTCGCAGAAACCATCGGGAATGTGAGAAGACGGCATCCTCCTCTCGTCCACGACTCTGACCGGGATGTGCGACACGGCTGAGCTGTCACTTCTCCTGGAAGGCTGGTCAAGAGAGCCACCTGGGCGTTCCCCTTCCTTAACAACATACTCTCTATATAAGACTTTTTTGGAGGGAGATTTTACAGTCATTTCCTTAATTTCTGAGAGAGAGCCATTAGTTAACAATTTGTGTTCTCTCTCAGTCACAGACAAAAATTCATTCCTTTGATCAACCATTTTACTCTCAGGGTGACCATTGTGATTCTCTCTTACATCATGAACAAGTACATGTGAAAGTTTTTCTTTCTGCAACTTATTGTTAGTGGCTCCAGAACTTTCCCACGTTCTAAAGACCTTTTTGTCCCATGGTCCCTTAGTTGCTAAATCTGAGGTTACATGACAGGCCAAGTCTTTAGCCTGTTGTTCAGAAAAATAGTCAGGCACAGCTTTTCTCAACATTTCAGTTCTCTGTTTTGTCACGTCATCAGAGCTGGAATCATTTACAACAATTTCACTGCTCTGGGCACGCTCATCTTTAGCCTTTAATACCATAAAATCTTTTTGCACAGATACACTTTCATCCGAAATGAGATCCACGGCCTTCTGCTGTTTTTCTCTGGCAAACGCTTGGTAGACAGGTAGCTTGCTCTCCTGGATTTTTTTAACCGGGATTCTGGATTGGCCATCTGGCTTTTTGTCTTCTTGAGAAACGTCCTTACTTTTGGCCTGCGCGCCTTGTTCAAATTTCAGTCGAATGGAACTGAGTTTCGATTGTTTGAGCTGAAACCCAGACTGGGGCCCTTCAGGGTCTTTGCTCTGTGAAACGCTTCCTTTGGCTTCCTCCGTGGACTTGCTGTCTTCAGTCTGTTGGGCAACAACCTTCTCTGGGCTGCTGGGCGGGCTGGCTGCGTCCCTCTCATCGGCTTTAGGGAAGTCTTGTCCATCCTGGCCCCGCTGCCTCGCCTTAACCCACTCATCACTGGATGCCAGCCGTTCTGCCAGCAGCACTTTCTCAGGGCTGCTACTGGTGGAGCTTTGAGATGAGTATTCTTTGCCATTTCTAGGGCGTGGCTTTTTCTCGGGGGACTGCAGTTCATCATTGAGCTTTTCGGTTTTGTCACGAAAAAACTGTGACACTTGAGTCAGTTTTTCTTCAGCTTCCTTCACAGTCCTGTCCACCCTATCTTCGTATATCAACTTCTCTCTACCTCTGTCTAATCTGTCCTCAGTAAAGCGCATCCACATGGCATGTTTTGGACTACTAACATCGCCAGAGTAGTGCAACACTGTCACTTTATCAAAATGCTCATCTTTAGACACTTTACCTACACCATTTTCAGACACATCTTTATAGATTTTGGAGAGAATTTCTTTTGGGGGGGCAGTGACTACTTTTTCTCTGGACCGCTTATCAGACGCCTGTAACTCTGAGCTAGGGGGTCCTGCATGGTCTGTAACCGATTCCTCAGTATCAGAATGAGACACATCTAGCTTTTCTGACAGAAGCATTTTCTCAGCAAACCTGTAAGACTCCCCTCTTAGTTCTGACAACTCATCGTCATGGTATTCTATTGAGTGTTGACTCAAAAGCTTCAATGTTTTATAAGAGTCATCAGATATGAGTTGAGCAGAACTAGGGCGGCTGTCTTCTTCTTGGGACACAGGAGTGTTCACTCTGGAAGACTCCAGATAAGAAGGCAGTGACTCTTCAGCAGTGAGTTCTTCTTCTTCTTGCTGACCCTGTTCCTCTGAACAAGGAAAAGCATCGTGTTTTTCTGGCAGAAAATCTTTTAGGTTAATATCTCCCCGGGATAAGTCTTTCTGATATACATACATTTCCTTTTCTGGATGCTTTTTGGTTTCTCTAATAATGACTTCAGTGGGTTCAGCTTGGTTACCTTTTTCGATGTGGACTTCTATTATACGCTCCAGTTTGGGTTTCATTTGGTTGTCCTCTGCATGCTGGGCTGAGGTTTCAGCAGCAGACTTGTGAACCTCTGGAGACACTGCTGACTTATGTTCAAACAGACCTGCCAGCTCTTTGGAAGGATCCCGCCCGGACTGAAAGGCCTTCATGATGTCGTGGACTGACATGGTTTCTTCAAGTCTTTCAGAGGCACCTTCGCTGCCTGGCGGAGAATGATAAACCATCCTGGTGGTGGTGGTGATGTGAGTCTCCTCTTTAACGCGCACGCCTTTGCTGAGAACTCGGTTGTGGTCATCTTCTTCGCCATTTGCTTTCATTTGAAATGCTTTAACTTTCTCTTTAATACTAGAAGTGGTGGGCTTTGGTTCCAGTTCCATAAAAGTAGGTGAAGGCTTGGATGACACGGGCTCCTCTGGCTGGGGCTGGGGAGCATCCCCAGCTGAGGGCTCATAGCTCCTGATAACGTGAACCACTTCAGTTCTCGTTTCTGTAATGACTGGAGGGATGGGGACTTCATGAAAAAGTGGTTTAGGGCCAGTGCTTTCAGCGCTTTGTGGGGCTGAAGGTGTTTTTTCACTTCTTGTTTCAAAGCCACTGTCGGACAAGGGACTTTTATCTTGATCGTGTTGAGAGAAGTCATCTGGAGACTCTAAAATTGTATCTGTTCCAAAAAAGGAATCGGCCATTTTACATAACTCTTTCTCGGAGGTGGACGGCCTCATGGAGGCTGGAGGCATTTTGAGTTTGTGTTCCTGCAGAGCAATTGCTGGCTTTAAAATTCTTTTCTGTCTCTCTTCACCATCCTTCTTTGCATCCTCAAACTTGTACTTTAAGTTTGTCAGTGAACTGCTTCCGATATCATTTGTCAAGTAATCAATCACTTTGGTCAAGTTATAATCCTTTTCGGAGGCGGCCTTGGCTTTTACTTGCACCCTCTCTGGCAGAGAGGGAGAATAACTCACAGAAGCTTGTCTTGCTTCTCGTATTTCTTCTGAGCTAAATTCTACCCAGTCATCTTCGGGAGACTGTCCTGTGTCACTCTTTGGTGATTTGGGTGGTCCTTTGTTATCTACACAGACATCTTTTTTGAGGATTTCACTAACTTTCACTAAGTCTTCCTTTACTTTCTCGACAATTTTGAAAGGTTCTTCATCGTCCATTCTCCCCTCTTTGGGGAGTTCGGGTTGGAATGGCTTCTCCTCAGGCACATCTGTTTGGAGTATTGCAGTCATCCGCATTAGGTCCTCTTTCATTTCAGCCACGTCTTTTAATATCTCCTGACTGGAAGATAGAGAAGATGGTGTAGACAATTTAAGGGCAGACGGTGCAAGGAACAAAGATGACTTAACTGGAGATGAAGTTCGATTGAAATGGGGCTGTGGATGTGTCTCCGTAGTCAATGTTTTAATGGGTGACAGCAAGGCTGCTGCCGATTTCGTAAGTGAATTAGAGTCTGGAAGTTTCTTTAGTGCTGGTTCTGGCAAAACATTGACTACAGAGTATACTGGCACTGTTATTATCGATGAAGTTACAGATGAGGTAGTTGCAGATATTGACGACCCAAGGGATGTATAGAGTGCACTTGCGGAAGGAGTTCTTAGAGACTGAAAAGCTGATGGTGCTGAAGAAACATAGGACCTGAGTGGGGAAAATGGCATTGCTGTCGTGGCAGGGAACACTTTCTCAACTGTGTCAGTGGCTGCATGAACCACAGAGCTCACAGAGTTTGTAGCTGTGGAAATTTTTTCCTGTAGCGTGGCAGTGGCTTTGCATCCATTAATTAAAGTTGAAGATGATGGATATTTCAGAGGGGAAATAGATCCGTTGACTAATGCTACCTCTGCGTGTCCAGGCATCTGTTTCACGGGTGATGAGAGAGAAGAGGCCATTGAAACTTTAGCTGATGAGATAACCTCAACTGTTGATTTAGCTGGAGACACCACTGACTTTAAAGGTGAAGATATTAGCGGTGCTGCAGATGTAATAATGGACTTAAATGGCAAACTTGAGGAATACATATTAATGTTTGATTTGGGGGAGGCAGGGGGCGTCATAGTAATTGACGACCTCTCCAAAAGAGATCCTGCTGTAGTCACTGGAGAGGTTCGAGAGGAAAACGTGGAATTGGATGCCAGCCCTTTTAAAGGCGAGGCCTCCGTGACTGTGGGAGCTCTAACCAGGGTACCAGAGGAAACTTGGATATTGTATGGAGATTGTGACACCACTGTTTTTATTGGCGAAGAAATTGTCCGAAAGGATCTAATTGGAGATGCCACGTCACTAATGGATTTAACTGAAGATGTAGTTGATGCGCCTAACGTGGATTTGATTGGAGAAGGAGTCGAAACAGACCATATTGATTTTAATGGAGATGCTGATGGCGTATTAGAGGAAGAACTTGATAAGGAAGTGAAGCCTGACTTGGCCGGCCCGGGCACTGTGATTGGAGCTGTTGTCCAGGACTGGTATGGTCTTGTAGAAAAGAATGGCTTGTATGAGTAAGTGGTGGGGAGGGATCTTGTTGCTCCTGCACTCCGTTCAACTGTTTCTTAAATTTTAAAATGAAATCAAACACAAAAATCAACAAAAATGGTTGAGAAACAGAGAGACCAGAGAAAAATATTGGTCAGTAAACTTTGAAATATTACAGAAGCAAGTACAATTGTTTGCATGATTTAGAATGGAATAGGCAAAAGGAACAATTATAAAAAGAGGAAAAAGAATTTCTACAGACATAACTAATCCAAAGTTAAAAATAAAACGAAATAAAACACAGAGCAATGTGAAATGAAAGACAGAAAAAGCACGTTGCAACCAAATAGGCCAACAATGAGAAATAAAGAACATGAGGAAACAATTAATGATGAGAAAAATAACCACAATGGAAAACCGTTCCCTTACTTCCTATTGACTTTCTTATGTGCTGGTTTTGAAATATCAGTAGCCGTTCTGTTTTGCCTGTATAGGTACACATTTGTTTTGTGCAACCATGTAACACTCATTTTAGTAATTTCTAACGTTCCCTCTCCTTGGACCTTTTGGTGATACAGATTGCACCTACTTAGAACTATATCATTGTGTATAGCTATACATTCAATGTCTAAGACTCTTTTTTAGAAAACCACTCAAGCCTAGTTCATGCAGATCCAAAATAACTTTTAACTGACAGGCAACTGATGTGCAAACTGTGAAGCCACTGGATTTTAAATTTGTTATCTTCCATGCACAATTCGGTTATGCTTCACACCCATAAAAAGCCAATAAGAGCAAGAAATTTTCTGAGTCAGAATTTTAAAAGAAAAAAAACAAAAGGAATGTTTGCATTTATCTTTTCCATGCAGTATATTCCTTTTGGTGAGGAAGAAAGAAAATATATGAAATGATTTTAGAATGCATGTGTACACACACACAAAGCGGGGGGAAACCAGAAATATGGTTCATGGTTACCATAAGCAAGCAAAGCAACTGAAACATTTTCTCATGCGTGATATCATGGCAAACAAGCCAAAGAAGTAATACAGTTTTTATGCCATATTATGCACAATGTGTAAACTTTAAAAATACTTTCACAACAGCATTTAGAAAGAAGAGTACACTTTTTCCATGAGACGTGAAGTCTTGGTACCTTTTGAGATTTTAGAAAAATATTTAACATTGCTTATTAAAAATCCTTTGACAACTAAATATATCCACATCTGGTGTTGTCTTCATTGCGGATAAAAGCATATAGTTTATCTTAGATACTTTTTTCATAATCCATTATGCTTTTAATTCTCAAAAGGTATCATGGGGAAAATTTTGAAAGCAGTCATATTTTTAACACCCCATATTTAAATACCTACAGTGGGATACAGTATATATCTGTATGTATATTTAATCAATGGCAAAGGTACCAATTCTCGTGCCTTCCCAGAATGTTCATGGGACTCATGGATACCCCCAAACACTGGAGCAGCCATGAGGCAGACCTACCACCAGGAAAGATGGATTTAATACCGGTATTCTTTTGGCAGTGGGACAAGAAACATACAAATGAGGTAAGCACACTGGCTGGGGGAGAGCAAACACACACTCAGTCCTCTCTTCTACAATTCTAAGAAACAAACCGAGCTGGTCACAGACATTTGGTGCCTGCCAAGGGCTAATGTTCTACGTCAGAGTTGAGTACGGTCTTGCTCCCAGAAAGCACTGGTTAAGAATAATAGAAATGCGAAGAGGAAATGAGAATCTGCTTCATCTTTATGCTCCTCTTCATGCTGTGCTCGTGCCATTGCTACACTCCAGTCCTTGCATTAGCAGCTACTCCCACAAGGGTGAAGATTTTCATTCCTAGTGTACATTTAAATTCAAACATTCAGAACATACCCTTTTCTAGGCTTACATATTATTCTAAAGAAAAGTGGAAGAACTAAGGAAAAACTTACCCATTCATTACCCTCCCCTGCCCCCAGCCATAATTCTCAGTATTATATTGCTTAATTCTTTTGGAAACACCACGTTGCAAATGGAAGGTTTGGGGATTCCTTCAATTCAGGGATTTGGGCTCAGCTCAATGTCTCAAGAGAACTTAACTTTTATAACCAGCAGAAATTGGCAAAGCATCTTTCCTTTACCACCGAAATCTGGCTCCATCAAGGAAAGAAGTCTTCTGAACCACATCTGTGGTTTTATGCTTCGCATGAAGCGGCCAGTTTACTGATTAGTTACATATTTTGTGCTTTAATGATACGTATTTTGTGATAACAAAGGGGATTCTGGATGTCAGGCACTGAATTACACCAGAATCTTTTTTCTGGGGGCGTGGGGGTTTTGGAAAGGACACGGTAGTGCAGGAAAAGTTGCATTCATTTGGCGTTCTAACACCAATTCTGCAGCTACATTTCTTTAGTTTTTCTTTTAGTCCCTTCTTAGTTCTCTCTATCCTTTTGTTCATCTCACTATGCTCCCTCTCATAAAACAGAAAAGTACCCTCCTCCTTCTATCAAAAGTCAAGGAAGATAAGCTACATACACCTGAACTGAAGGGAACCAAAAAGTAGCAATATTTTCAGAACTGAGAAAAATTCAGTTGACTTAGCACACACCTGACCTTACAACTTCTATGTCCCCTAAACAAATACCTTAGGGACCAAAATCAGATAGGTGCTCTCCTGCCCTGAGGCACCCCTGACCTCAAGCAGCCGGTCCATGGAGCCTGTCTGAAGCTTGCGAATGTTGCCTAGGAGTCACAGCCAGCTACCCCATGAGAGCCTTCGCTCTAGGGTAAATTAGTATTCTAAGGAAAACTTCTACCTAGGAGAGTCAGTTGTACTGAAAAACCATCTTGTTACATGCACAAATGTACCCTTCCCTGCTTTGTAGCAAAATGGGAGTTAATTTTAGCCTGTGGCTTTGGAAACATTTAGACATCTATACTAGAGGAAAAAACAAATTTGGAAGAACATTCATGAGTGTGGTAGAGTTTCATTTCTCTTATGTCCCCCATTTTGTCTCTGACTATAAGTTTCCCTACTAGATAGTCAGGGAGCTAGACTCCAGGAGATTATGCTAAGCCCACCTGCATTAAGGAGTGGAGTAGTTTCCTCTCGCACATTTAATATGTGATGTTGGCTCACGGAAACAGGAATTCAAGAAAGATGTGGAAAGCCAAAGCTGTGGTTCTTACTGGTAAATGTCCAATCCTCCCTGAACTCAAGTAACTGAGTAATGGGAAACAGCTAGAAATGATTCCCTAATTTAAAAATAAGTTTTGTATAAATCCTCCTCTGATGGCGAAAGTGGCACCACTCTACGTCAGTCAGACACAGTGCTGCTCCACACTCTTAGTTCCTGTTGGTGGACAGGATTATCTTGAGGGCTGTAGTGACCACCAGAGGTGATGACCATAAGGGTAAGGAAAGGAGAGGGAGGAGGGAAGGGGAGACACAGAGAATGAACGAATATGACTGAATGAGTCTATGCCTTGATAACTTGCAAGCCAGTTAACAATGAACCAAAACAATCATCGAGAGAAGAAAAGGTAACGAGTCTAGTGAAAACTAGCCTTAGAGTTGATGTTTAATAAAGAGCAGAGAGAGGGAGGAAATAAGAAACCAGTAAACAAGTGCTACCTCAAGAAGGTACGAAAACACAATTCTTGCAACTGGGAAAAGGAGGAATCAGGGCCAAGAGATAATGACCTACCTATATTAAGAAAAATGAGATGCTGACCAGAGTTACTTTATCATTCTTTATACCATTCCACATGTATGAAAGTAAAGATTTTCTATTTTGAGCACAGATTTAAAGCAACAATGGTACATTATCTCCTAGCATAGTTAACAATCAAAGTGAAATCAAGGTTTTCAGAGACAGTAAGTGTTTGGAATTTTAAAAATAGCTAGTGGCTTAAAAAAAAACTTCTGAAGCTACGACCTAGGGGCGTTTGTACCTCATATTTTCACCTATCTACACTATATCACTTAGATTTCGTGATAAAGTTTTCCTGCAGGCAGTTTTCTTCTGTCATGGGTTTTCAAATAACCCCCAAATTCAGTTTGTATAGAAAAAATGTCTCTTCTTATAAAAATCCACATAGATCAGTAAGTGTGTTAGGAAACTCACTCATTCCAGGCTCAGTCAAGTAGCTGTAGCGCTTACGTAAAGCTAACGATGCAAAGCTCTGTCGTCGGTCCGCTTTCTCGGCCTGGAAAAGAAAAAAAAAGACTACGTCCAACTTCCTTGTGACAGTTTCATCATTCTGAGACATTTTTGTAGGCTGGCATGTTCACATCTTGTTTATGCTTTTTTCCCTTCTTATGGATTTTCCTCAGGGAAATGTTAATTTCCCATTGTGATCCTACAGCCCCACCCCGACGTCTTAACCAAATAACCACCATTTAGCAAAATGTAAGAGCACCAACACAGCAGACTACAGGGAACTACAAAGAAAAGACGAGCATTACAGAGACTTCTGATGCTGAGCAGTAAGTTTTCCCAAATTCATTTGTATTGAAAGCACATATATCACAATGTACACTCACTCTTGGTGAGTACATTCAAGGAAAAAAGGCACACAAAGTTTACTATTCCGATAACTGCTGTTGTTTCTGTATGTTAACAGGCATAAAATGTAGATGAGGAGATTAAAAACAGGTTAATGGTTTTATTAGAAGTAATGTTAGTCTTACAGCTGCCAAATTCTATTTATTATTGCTGAGGTGTGAGTTTTAAAAATCTTGTGATCATATAACTTGTAGAAATATTAGGAGATAACTTATAATGAAAAATTCATTTGAAACTTAATTGAACAATTATACCCTTAAAAATGGACGAGATAAACTTCTTTAAATATAGAATACCAACTATTTATCAATAGCCATTGAGCACCTATTTTATATTGCATAAAACATAAGGTGATTTGCACAATAATATTTCATATATTACCCATGATCTTTGGTTTAAAAGTTAGTTAGAACGGTAGACATGAACAGATGTGTATTTATCCATGCCAATCTATCACATTTAAAAATGCTGAAAGAACTTGAGTTCCTCTTTTTAACATTAGCTGGATTATAATTTTATTGAATGTACTGAAATACTCTTCCGTGTATGTGGAAGAAGAGTGAACTATTAAGAAAAAATTTATATATCTCACTTAAGCTAAGAGCTGCACAAATACAATACGTTTCCCACACTTCAGCCCTCTGCAACTTCTTTTATACAGATGCCATTTCAAGTCTATCTCTGGATAGAGTAAAAGCAGAAGTGTTCATATTACCTCATCATCTTGATCTGACTCTGTCTCCTTTTGGTTCCAAGATGCATTGCAGAGACAAGGAATATTATAATGGACAGCAGGGAAAAGAATATCAGGATATGAAAAGGAACTGAGTAGGGAGCACAAAATGCAAGCTGCTTTAGAAAGCAAAGCAAATCAAAAGAAGCCGACAAAAAATACCAAGAGCTGTACATCCATGGCCAATTAACATGTGAAGTTATCTGAAAGCATAACAATCTATGAACTACCAGCAGAAGCAGAAGCAATAAACAGGACTCCATCATACAAACCATAAGAATTTGACACCACAGTCACAAGACTAAGTCAATCTACACAAAGAGACTAATAAAACTGGAGTTTTAAGAGCTTTAATCATGTTACAAAGCATTCCTTAGTTGCATACCAAGGGCCCAGTTCTTCAAGACCAGGGAAAGAAAGTTAAAATAAACCAGTATTAAAGATACCTTTTTATGTGCTGGCAGAGTGATGTTTAAGTTGCAAACAGCTGTTTGAGGCAGTCCTTTTGTTGTCTTTGGTTCTTTCAGAAAAGACAGGCGACCACAGGGCTCCTGGCTGGTGTCTCTAATCTAGAAGAATTTAGATAGTTGACATTATAGAAAGAGACTTTTCTGATGCCTGTCTGTACAAGAGTTAAGCACATTTGTTTTATGGAGTCCCTCAAGAGGCAGGAGAAAGTAAAGGAAAAATATGATAATTACATGTCAGCCACATTTAAACTTGGCATGATTTTCTTAAATGCCCAATCCCTAGTCTAAACACAGGAGTGTTGTGTCTGCTTGTCTTATCCTGACAATTCATTGTACAGTCTGTGTTATATGCATTTCCTCCTGCCTAATAATTTCTTTTTCTCAAAGCCGCAGTTTTAGCAACAATAACAACAGAAAGTACTAGCAATAAACAATTGTCCTGTGTCCTTCAGTTCTCTAAGGAGGAAGATGGTTTCTCCAGCATGTCCTTGGGCTCCACCAGAAATGAAGATGAAACTTGAACCTTCAATCTGGATTTCACCCATTATTTGATTACTGCCCATTAACCAGATATCATGCATTTTATTATTCTACATTGTTTGGTCTTACAAACATTTGATTAAATATAAATGATTATTTAGCTGTTTAAAAGGTAAAGACTCTTTTTACTAATAATAAAGGTTTCCTGGCTCAGAAGTGCACTCAGATAGAACTAGGGCAAATTTGGTAGGATATTTCAAACTGAATAAAGCATTAGATCTTTTTTATTCTTTAAGAGCATTTACAAAAAAATCCAGAGTCTCTGTTGAGGGTGATTTACCTTGATGGAAAATGGCAGTCTGTTTTCTTTGAAAGCATAGAAGTTAAAAACAAGTTGCTGTCCTCCTTTGGTAAGTGGGGCCAAGTTTCCGTAACAATCAACATAAATAGGTTTTCCTTCCAGAACCTTTTATAGTAAAACAAATACATAATTTCCTGTTAATTTAAACTGAAAGAATTTTGAGATTTTAAGTCATGTAACATTAAAAGACTGACATGTTTCTATGTCACATTTGTCTCCTTATTAGGAAATTACTTCTATGGTGCTGTTTGCCACAAAAATAATTTTATTGGTTTACAATTCAGTAGTTGTGATTGGAAACTGTATCATGGTCATGTATAAGAAAATTATAAATTTATTTCTATCCTAGCAACTTCAAACATGTTTAAGAAAGTATCTGACATCAACCACTTATTCATAAAGACTTTGAAAGTTTTTTGGACTTTTAATGCTTATTTGATCACTGGGTTTGATAAAGGATAGACTGTGACCATGAAAATAAGATAACTCCAGCAGCCACAGGGAAATGGCGACCATGACTTAGAGTCATTGGTACTAGACTTTAACCAACTAAGATAACCTCAAAGACACTGAAAATAATTTGAGAGTGAATCTGTATCAAAATTTTAAAACAAAAACTAAAATCAATAATGTACTTGATATTTATAGTGGTGCTTTTATGGCCTCAAAATAAAACCCCGTATCTGGGGAACGTAATTGAATGAACTTGTGACCAGGGTACCTCAATATCTTTGCTTCTTGCAACTTCCTCAAAATTCTCCTGCTGCTCTAAAGTCTTGTCCACCTTATCATCTGTCATGCAGAAACACCGCAGGGAGGATTCTACAGGATCATTCATTTTGGCAAAAACAACAAACTTGGCCATATATGGAACACATATTAATTCTCTGTACAGTTGTGTGGCTAACCCCACAGTTTCTAAAACTTGATGGCAGTCTGCAAGCCAAAATCTGAGAAAGACAAAAACAAAGCAGAAGTGTGAACATGAGGTGACTTCAAATCTTTAAAAATCACCATCCAAAAAATTAGAGTATATAAAGGAGCTAAGCCAGAACACTAACTTGTTCATTTAAACAAACAGCAAAGATGTTTACTCTGTTTATCAAACACAGAAACCCTACCTTTATTATTTGTTGTAATTTTGCTAAGAAAATGCTAGGGATTTTTTCCCCTCTACTGTCTTCTTCATCAACCTCTTGTTCCTCTCTTATACCCATGATAAGCCTTCCCTTCTACTACTGCTTAAGAGTTTAATTTATTACTTTACCATTGGAAGGAACAAGCATTTTGTAGGGGGCGGAATGGGAGAGAAAGGAAAATCCTATCAGGTTTTATGAATTCCTAAGAACTTCTACTGGAAGAAGCAACTTTACCACCTTGTAGCTTGCCATGAGAACTGGATACAGCAACATCCAAGTGACTTTACAATTTCTGAGTTTGGCCCAACTTCACCATCAATATTTTAGGGGATAATTGTACTGGCATTCAGCACAACAGTTTTACTTGCCACAAGGTAATAAACACAAATTCCTAGCGCTTTTGGGGATCCTTTATTTCCATACCTGGCTGAAACATTGGTTGTAAAAGACACACAATCCTTTATAAATGTCAAGGGAGTGGTTCCTGTGATGTCTTCCCACTGAGCAGGCGATGTGCCCCCTGAGAGAACAACAGCACATAGGTTGACTTTATTATGGGAGACGCTCCTTGTAAAATAGTTATCATTCTGTTCTTCCTGCATAGCCAGTAACTCGCAAAACTTCAACACTTTCAATCACACGTCTTAAGAGGTAGTTTTCCTCTCCACTCTCCTTTGATACTTTTACCAGCTTATAGGGATCTCCTTGTAAGACAGTATTAGATTTAAAAAAAAAAAAAAGACTTTTCTGTTTGCCTGGACACTAATGAATGGCTTCAATTTGAGGCTCACAAGTTTAGGCCATTTATTATAAGCCACGATTTGTAAGTGCACTTTGTAGGTACAAATAATTTATTGTCTCAGATAGACAATATAATTCTTTTATTTTTTTTTTAAAAGGCCAGAACTATAAAGAAAGTTAAGCAGCAGCTCATTTTATACTGCCTGGACCATTTAATTTTCCAGGCTAACAGGGGAAACAGCCATTAAGATTACTCTTCAGAAAAGAACAAAAAACATGCAAAAAACACCCTATCTTTACCTTGGACTTTCAGGTAAAAAGTCACATTAAGTTAATCAAATGATGAACTGAGTGCCAGACTCCAGGTACTTATCACAAAATGTGCTCACCTAAGCCCCGTGTATCCAGTCTATTGGATGACACCCAGGAAATGAGGGGGTGAGAAAAATCAGGTAGTCACTCTGCCCCTCCCTATTCCTGGCACTCTGTGGGAGCTCTGTTTACCCCAAAGTCCATCCAGTTTCCTATAACCTATGTCACCAAGACATTACCTAGATGCTCCAGTGGATTCAGTAATACCTCAAAAGCCTTAAAGAAAAGCACTGTTAATAACACTAAACTTAATAGCAGGAAAAGTGCTATCACTGAGTTTTAAGTGAGTCATGATATCAGCATCTTAAAGAAATCATTACAGGGGTAACAGAGATGAGGTGATGGGCAAGTAAACGGTTTTATTCCTTTTCCTACTCTTACAATGCTGTCTTTGTACAGAATTGCCGCGAGTGGTAGCATCAGTGGCAAGAACAGTAACAACGTCAGCAAACCTGTGATGCTACAGAGGAGGCGCAGGTTGGGCGTGGTGTCCCCCTTGTACCCGTTGGCTACGCCTTCTCCCGAGGGCGGGGGCACTGGAATGGTCATTGTGATAGGCTTATGGAATTTCCTTCTTCTTGGCTCCACAGTGACAATTGGGCTAAATGTTGCTTTGTTTCCAAGGATCTTTTTCACAATTTCATCTGGAACAGGCTGGGCCTAGAGACAGGGAAAAGGATCTCAAATGAAAGTGGGTATTTTTGTCTTCTCACAAAGTTGACTTTTTAGTTGAGGAAGAAACAGCAACAACAACAACAGATGT